ATTTTTCAACAAGCACATGGGGGCATCCATTATGTGTCAGGCACAGAGCTACAGGCTGGAGATATAGAAGCAGGAAAAACAATCTCTGGTTGAATTTTTTAGATTGGTGCAAAAGTCATCACGGTTTTTGCCATTAAGAGTAATGGCAAAAACCACCATTACTCTTAATGGCAAAAACCACGATGACTTTTGCAACAACCTAATAGTTCCAAAGTACCTTGAAGACACAGGAAAACAAAACAAAACAAAAAAAGCAACAACAAAAAGGCTCAGCCTCTGAGACAGACATAACCTTCTGAATCAGATTCTGGACAAAGTCTCTGCTGTCTTCAGGGCCCATGATTTATAGTAAGGAACACCACCTATGCTTCCACTAGTGAAATTTGTCCACCTGCAGGCCTGTCCTTTCTCCCCCCACCACCCTACACTGACTCTGCTCAGAAACCCTGAGTTAGGACTCACTGGAGTACTGGATAATCATACTTTGGTTGCCTTCTACATAACCAAAGCATAGATCTTCTGTGTCACCCATCCCCATCTCTTTGAGTAGCCTGGTGACCTGAGGCTTGGAATAGCACAGATCCAGGATTGATCATATTGCTGTGACCACAAGTAGGTTATTCTACTTCTCTATGCCTTGGTTTTCTCATTTTGAAAATGAAGATAAGAATGCCCACTGCAGAGGGATTTGTGAGGATTAAATCATGATGTACATATATATGCAATCAGTTAAGAAATTGCAGCTATTATTATAGGATTTCCTCTATTGTAAGACATCTTCTATTCTAAGATTCATCAATGATTTAGTAACAGCTTTGGGGGCATAATACATTGATTACAAAATAAAGCCTAGTTTCAGAAATACTAAGATCTGAAAAATTGTGCCATCTGGAACTTAGGAAATATGACATTCTTTCTAGATCTATCTGGAGATTACAATGTCCAGAATCAACCAGGCAGGTAATTATAAAATGTGGGACAGGGGGAGAAAAGGTAGGGGAAGAAAGAAGTTTGTGGTGGTGCAGTGTTCACTGGGTAGTGTAGGCCTGCCATCGTAAACAGCGTGGATGGAGATGGTAGCAGTATAAACTGGAAATGGAGGATTTTCATGCCCTCTATTGGTTCAGCATATCAGAAAGACACTCACAGCAGCAAAATCTCCAAACTGGAAACTAGGCCAAGAGAAGTGCACACCAATCTACCCCCAGAGAGACATTGGAGAAAAGGGTCTGGCCATAACCCAAGTAACAGTGAACAGAGACAAGAAAAAGCCACACAACCTGTCCATTTAGCAAATACTAAATATGTGTAACTCTGTCCTTACTCAAGGAAGAGTAAAGAAGATAAAGCTAACATGGGACCTATGGGGAAATATCACAAAAAGAAAAGGGGGCATCATAATAAAATTTCTTTATTAATTTTTTTTGAGACAGAGTCTCGCTGTGTTGCCCAGGCTGGAGTACAGTGGCACAATCTCAGCTCACTGCAACCTCTGCCTCCCAGGTTCAAGCAATTCTCCTATGTAAGCCTCCCAAGTGGCTCAGATTACAGACGCATGCCACCATGCCTGGCTAATTTTTGTATATTTTTAGTAGAGATGGGGTTTCACCATGTTGGCTAGGCTGGCCTTGAGCTCCTGACCTCAGGTGATCCACCCACCTCAGCCTCCCAAAGTTCTGGAATTACAGACATGAGCCACCGCTACCAGCACATCATAATGGAATTTATTATGAAATAACGTACTGCAGGATCCAGAAGTAAATTTTATAGAACTGACATCCTCAATAAGATGTCACCAGATATGATCTTTGGAAAAGTCTGGGAGTTAAGAGATACTAAAAAAAGACAATAGTTTGAATTTTTAAGGCAGGTGGATAAGCTAACACAGAACTGCAAAAAAGTAAATAAAATGTAATAACCAAAATTCAGCACCCATTCATTATTTAAAAAAAAAAAAAAAAACTTTAACAAACTAGAGATGAAAAGGAACACAATCTGATTAAGAGTATCTCCAGATACTTAAAACATCACATGTAATGATACAATATTGAACTTCTTTACCTGTGAGCCTAGAAATAAGACAAGGTTGCCACTATTGTCACTTCTATTCAATAGTTACTGGAGATCCTAGCCAATGCAACAGGGCAAGAAAAAGAAAGAAAGGATATTGCAGAGTCAAATGTGAAAGATAAAACAATAAAGCTTTTAGGAAAAAAGGAGAATATCCTCAAGACCAAGGAATAGGCAGATATTTGTTAAAATAACTATAAAGAGAAAGTGATAATAAATTAGACTACCTTATGACTAAGAACTTCTGTTTGTCAAGACACTCTGGAGAGGGTAAAAAAAAAAAAAAGAGCCAAGCATGGTGACATGTGCCTGTTGTCCTTGCTAGTTGGGAGGCTGAGGCAGGAAGATCACTTGAGCCCAGGAGTTCCAGGCTACAGTGAGCTATGATAACGCCACTGCACTCTAGCCAGGGTAATGGAGAAAGACCCCATTTCTTTTCTTTTTTTTTTTTTTAGATGTCTTTTATAAAAAAAAAAAAAAAGATAAAAAGGTAACTCACAGAATGAAAGACAGTTGCAATACGTATATCCAACAAAAAAACTTTATCCAGAATATATAAATGTCTCCTACAAATTAATAAGAAAAAGACAGCACAATAGGAAAATTGACAAAAGATTTGAAGAGGCACTTCACCAAAGGGCCAATAAACATTTGAAACCTCATCAGGAAAATGCAAAGTAAAACCATAATGCAATACCACAACACAGCTATGAGAATAAACTGGAAATTACCAAGCAAGGTTGAGAATGTGAAGCAACTGAAATGCATAATTTCTGATGGTAGTGTACATTGATAAAAATCTCTTTAGAAAACTGTTTGACACAATATGCCAAATCTGAAAATACACTTATTCTATGACTAGCAATTTTATTCCTTGGTAAAAACAATAGAAATCCTTTTACATTTGCATTCACCAAAAGATAAGTATAGACTGTCCATGGCAGCACTAAAAATGAAGAAACTACCAAATGCCCAACAATAGAGGAATAAGTAAGTAACCTGCAGTGAATCCACACAATGGAATACCATACAGCAATGAGAATGAATTGCAACCACACACAAAAACATAAACAAATGCAACACTCGGTGAAAGAAGTCAGGCATACGCCCAAACTCTTGTAGGTTTTAGACTTTTCTAAGCAAATATCTGGCTAAAGAGGAAATTAGAGTTGCAGTCTTTTTGGCAATAAATATACAACAATCAGTTAATATACCAAATATATAAAGAGCTCTTTCAAATAATATAACTTAAATTTTAAAATAGGTAAAGAGCAAAGATGAAAAAAATTACAAAACAATAGTAATATATAACAAACATGGAAGAAAATGCCCTAATGGGATATCATAAAAGACAAAAGAAGGTAAGACAAAATTGTTATTCGCTTTTTTATTTTTTATTTTTTTTGAGATTGAGTCTCACTCTTTTGCCCAGGCTGGAGTACAGTGGCACGATCTCGGCTCACTACAACCTCTGCCTCGTGGGTTCAAGCAATTCTCCTGTCTCAGCCTCCCAAGTTGCTGGGACTGCAGGCACGCACCACCACACCCAGCTTTTTTTTTTTTTTTTTTTTGTATTTTTAGTAGAGACAAGTTTTCGCCATGTTGGCCAGGCTGGTTTTGAACTCCTGACCTCAGGTGATCCAACTGCCTCCGCCTTCCAAAGTGCTAGGATTACAGGTGTGAGCCACCATGCCCAGCCAGTTATTCACCTTTAAATCGCAAAAGTTTTATGATTGGTGAAGATGCAGTAAATCTACATTTTACTAAACCCTTTAAACAAATACGGGCCTGCTGGATTTCACAACATGCATCAAGAACTGTAAAGGTATTCAAAAACCTTGTAGGAACTTATAGGAAAGAAACAATCAGAGATTATCATAATAAACACAGATTTAGTTTGAAGATGTTCATCCTAGCATTCTATAGAACCCTAAACCAGATTTGGGGGAAAAAGTACAATTCAAGGCAATTTCTGATAATTGTTTCCTTCCCTCTGTGGCCTTGAGGTTGTAGAACTCAATGATTTTCTGCTACTTACCTTGGTGAGTCAGAGCCTTTTAGTTTGGCACTGCAGATGCGCAACAGCCAAGATTTGGCCAAGATTCAGATTAGAGATCATGAGTGAAAGTCGTTAATACAGGCTACATAAAAATGTACGACTTACCATGCTCCCATCCCTTGTTTTCCTTTTACAATGGTCTTGGCACATTTAATTGTCTTCTCTAAATTAGGATTCAGTAAAGCTGTGGGGAAAATAAAATGGAAGATACCATGCCCCCATGTGACAGCTAAGTTAGAGTGATATCAGGGAAGGTACAGGGTGCTCACATCAGAGAGTCTTCCAATAATAAATCTATCCTTAGATTTTTATTAGACAACCCTAAGGAGGTAGCAGGATGTAGTCATCTTTTTACCAGATCTATTGATTTTTTAACTTGTAATTCTTATAAAATTTTTTCCATTAAAATATATTGATTAGGCTACAGAGAATCAGCTGATGCCCAGGATCATGATCTGTTCTAACCCTTCACTTAACCTATCTGTATCCTTGTTCCCCTTTTAGGGATTTTTCTTACTTTCTTGCCAACTCAGTCTGGGACTTTAAAAGAATTGTTTTTTCTTTTCTTTGTTTACATTCTACCTAACGGGAGAGTTTCTCAGGATATACAGTCCACCATATTTTTATCACAACACACAGTACCACCTCTATTACAGACAGATAATTTTATGTGTCTCCCATTGGATTCTGGAGAGATGGAGATAAGATAGATAGATAGATGATAGATAGATAGATAGATAGATAGATAGATAGATAGATAGATAGATAGATTTCTGCCTATGAAATACAAATTACAGGCCTACCATATTTCTCTTTTTGCCTTGGCTACCAGGAAGCTCTGGGTGACACTGGATGTACCATCATTTCAATTTTAAATTAAATGAATTTAATTAATTTTAAAATGTTATTAACTTACACTTTTAATGTGTATGTCTCCTCAACTAGACTGTGATTATTATAATTCACTAAGGGCCCTGCCTGGCATTTTATATACATTATTCCATTTTATGTTCACAGAAACCCTAAGTGGTTGTTAATGTCCCCACTTCACAGATGGAGGAGCTCTAGAAGTGACTTATACAAGCTCATGTCGTTCTTAATGGCAGCAGCTAGGATTCCCACCAGGTTCCCACAGAGTTCCTGTGCCTTTTCCTCCTACTTTGCAGTCCTGCCTCTCCTTGATTCAGAGAACTTTCTTACTCCTCTCTGGAGCTAAAGGTCAATCATGGGGCCCAATACAGACAGGTACTCCCCAGGCCACATGAGAAGGCTGCAGGCCTTCACTCCAACCCCTCCACTCTGTCTCCTAAAGACCCAGTTCAGAAGCCACAGGCTCTGGAATGGTTCTCACCCATCAGCGTGGAGGGAGGTTTGCTCATTAGGGAGGATGCTGGGGTGCTTAGGCAGAAAGACCGCCTCAGATGTGAGGGAGACCTGGCTCAGCTGTGTAGCCTCTTGGTTTAGCCCCAACTCAGGAGTCACACTGCTTAGGTCTCCCTCCCAGCTCTACCACCACACAGCTGTGTGGTTTTGGGCATATACTTACCCTCTCTGGGCCTCAGTTTCCCCATTTGTAGAATGGGGATAACAGTACCCACCTCATGGGTATTTAATTAGATTGATTAGATGAATTAATTAGATGAATACTTATAAAGGGCTTAAAAGAGTAGCTGGCAGTTAACAAGCACTAAAATGGCAACTCTGTAAGGCCTGGCACTTAGTAGGTGCTCAATAAATGCTCATGCAATGAGTGAATCCTGGCAACCACCTCCCCTTGATCACAGGTACTTGGGACCACCTAAGAGCAGTGGGCAAGCTCCCCTTGGCGTGCCCAGCTCCTGTCTCCTCCCAGTAACCAGTTCTGCCTTTCAAAGTGGCAGCAACTGCCCCCTTAAAAAAGGGAGAGGTGGCCGAGCGTGGGTGAAATCAGGCCAGCTGGAGCCCTCTGCTCCCAGCCTTCAGGCTCTGATGCCTGCAGCCTCCTCTCAACTTCCCAACACCTTCTCTGCCCATTTCAACAGGGGTCTCCATCACTCCATCCTAGGTTAGCCTGCCTGACTCCGCATAGCCTGATCTCACTGTGCCCTCAGCAGTGCAATGCTCAGCCTCCCAGGGACCCATGCTGGATATGACTCCTGCCACGCCCTCTTCTTTGTAAACTTTGTAAACTCTGGCCATCTGGAAGGCAGGCCTCTGATACAGCATCACAGCCTCCAGTGCCCCCACACAGAATGGAAAGAGAGACTTACCAGAACATGACATGTGGCAGCGGTTCCTGCCATGGTCACCACACCAGTCACTGCCACGAATCTGAAAGAGGCCAAAGCCAATGTAGCCATCTTGTGTGTTCTCGTAGATGGCCATGGGGTTGAACTTGCTCTCGAAGTAGGCTAGGCACACCCCTAAGATGGAACAGAAGGTGTGTGACTCTGAGGACAGCTGGAGTTGGGGATGCCTGGCCAAGGAAAGGAGGGCAAGGAGGTGAGAGGAGGGAGCACTAAGGGTGCCTACTCACAGTTCTCAAGGCTATAGCCCTCAAAATAATCCAGGCCTCCATCGTGGAGTTTCTTAGCCACTGTGCAACGCCCCAAGATGTAAGCACCACTTGGAACCACCAGGTAGGCAAGGAGGGAGAGAACCACGGATGCCTTCATCTTCTCCAGGCTCCTGGCAGCTCGGGGCAACGGTGGCCGGATGAGTGAGCAGAGTCACAGGGCCACTGGTCCTCTGAAGAGAAAGAAGGGCACTGTGGGGCTGGGGGTGGAGCACACTTCAGTGTCATCAGAAAAATAGGAATCTCACCTGGTAAGCCATGACACTTCTTCCCATCCTAATTCTCTGCTTCGTGTCACTGCAAATCTGGGACACCTGAAACTCCACCCCTTCTCCTCCTCTTGACCTCCTATTTTCTAAGGAAATTGCACTCTTGAGGCCCCCCTCTCAACCCCAATTCTTTCCATACAGCAAAACCCATTGACTCCTTCTGGGTTTGTACCTCACTCGTTTCACTCTGATATTAGATACAGATGCTCAAGACCTTCCTTCCCTTTATTGTAAAAGTAGACTTTGGTGATTAAATACATCTTGGAAAACAGAAAAGAGAAATTTTTTTTAAAAAAAGCATCATGGCCCCACCACTCCAGCAGAACCACTACTGACCTGTCGAGTTATGTCCATTACCGCCTCTTATGCGTCTTATTCCCAGTTGTGTCTTTATCCTTTACACAGTCTTGTCCCTAGATTTTCTATAAACCAAACTCCCCTGAGTTTTTCCCTTGCTGTCCAGGCAATGAGACAAGCCCAGACCTGCCACATACTAGCCAGACAACAGACAAGTGATTTAGCCTCACAGTACTTCTGCTTCCTTGTCTTTAAAAGTGGGGTCACTTGGAAGGGGAGGGCACTCAGAGAATGGACTCTTGAGTTTAGCCTTCTCCATTTCTTCTCCATTTTAGGTGGCTGTCACCATCTAAACCCACCGCCTCCTCACAGCAAGCTGAGTCATAGCCCAGCCTTCTCATCTCCAACCCTCTGGGCCAACTCATGCAGGTGGTGTTTTCTACCATGACTGAGAAATGTCCCCAAAGCAGGTACAAAATGTCACTTGAAGAACACTGCTAATCCCCTCTTCTTACCACAGCAAACCCACAGTTGGCTTTCCAAGCCCTCCATGATCTGGCTTTACCCCATCCACCCTTTATCAGGACGAATCTATTCAGTAAACTCGGAATTCTCATGGCGCTCCCTCTCTGGATGCCTCTGCACCTCTCCACTCCATTCCTCTGGCACCCACGCCCTCATGCATGGTTCTTCCGAATGCACAGGGCCCTACCATGCCTTTCCCCATTCAAATGTTGCTCCATCTTGAGGTCTTACCCCAGGTGCCAACTTCTTGGACCCTGATGGATCCTCCATAAAAGTTCCATTTTCCCTCTGAGCCCCTATTGCTCTCAGATTTTTTCCATGACACCCTGCAGGTGATTGTCCTGTTTTGTGCTCTATCCCATTCCTCAGACTAGAATGTCCAACTGGAAATTGGAACTCATCTTCCTCCTGGAATACCTCATAGCCCCTAGCACTCCATCGTTATATATCAACTGGACAATTCATCGCACCTTCCTGTTTGTCACCATTCGCAGGTGCATGTCCTCCAGGCTGTATACACCTACACCAGGGGTTCTCAGCCTTGGCACTTGGGCTGGAATATGCTTTGTTCAGGGAACATCCTGTGCATTGGAATTGTTTAGGAGTACACCTGGCCTCTAGATGCCAGTAGCTAGATGCCCTGAAGTTATGTCAGACAAAAATGTTCCTATGGGACAAAATTGCTCCCTGTTGAGAAATGTCTAACTTGGGCAAAAGTTAGAAATAAGTATATTCATGAATTAGAAGAATTATACTTTCAAACATTTGTTCAAACTCTCAAGCTCCATGATTAGTTGCAGACATGACCAGTACACCAAATACAGTATCTAGGAGGGCCTTGCATTTAAGAGCTCAGACTTGGGAATCAGATTGCCTGGGTCCAAGTTCTAGCTTTACCCCTCAGTGGCTGAGATATCAGCGATCCCATTAGTGATCTTAGACAAATTACTCAACCTCTCAATTCCTCTGTTTCCTCCTCTGAAGCACAGATTATAACAGTACTTAATTGTGTTGATTTGAAGAGTGAGTGGATTAAATATGCACAGCACTAGATCTTACTTGCGAACATTTTTCTTAGCTCTGGTTGCACCCCTGCCCTTGTATACCTATGTATCAACCCTGTAAGTTGTGCACATGTACCCTAGAACTTAAAGTATAATAATTTTAAAAAGTGACTCTCAGTGCATGTTTCATTTGCCAACAGAGCGAACATTTTCTGGTAATGTCTGTCTTCCAAAGGGCAGGCCTCATCTCAACTCATAGAAGGCATACTGAGTCCTCTCCTCCCCTCTCCCGCAGAAGCCAGTTCATCAGGGTGTGCCATCTACACTTCTTCCAGAACCTATTCACTCGTCATCTTCTTTTCTGCCATCTTCCTAATCCAGACCACCATCATCTCTAAGGTGGAGGTTTTATAACTACACTCCTCTACTACATACTCCTCTCTGCTCCCCTAAACCCACTGCCCACACAGCAGTTGGAAAGGCGTTTTATAAAGCATGTGTCCAGTCACATCACTAATCTCCAGTGGATTCCCCTTGCACTTTGAATAAGGTGCCAACTCCTCAGCCTGGCTGACAAGACTTTCTGATGAAGCCACTGAGCACCTCTGCAGTCTGAATTCACATCACTCTCTCCTTTGATCACCTTCACTCTGCCATAGTCACCTTGCACGTTTCTTTTCCTTGAATATGCCAATTTAATTCCCCCTCAGGTCCTTTGCACCAGCCATTCCTTCTACCTGGAACATAACTGCCCTGACCACCACATATGAGCTCGCTACCTCAAAGAAGATTCCTTGATCACTGCCCCATCAAAAAAGACGGTCTTTATTTTCTTCATACCATTAATCAATATCAGCAATTCCTTTGTTCATTTATCTGTTCACTTGCTTATTTTCTCTCTCCCATACCTGAGTGTAAACACCAGGAATGCAGAAACCTGGTCTGTTTTTTTCTCTTCATTATCCCCAGAACTTAGAACAGAACCTAATACAGAGTAGGTTCTCAATGAAACTTTGTTGAATGAATGAGTGAAAACCTCCTCTTCCCAACTGAACTGTCATCAAATGAGCAATAAGTGAATTTGCTGATGAGCATCTCCTGCAGCTGGGTGTTGTCATGCCCATTACCCTCCTGCCCACCATATACCCGCCTACCAGTCCACCAGCCCTTCCAAAGGGCAGCTTTTGGTGCCTTTCCAAGGGGAGAGGAAGAACAGCCACTGCAGCAGCTTCAACGTGTGTTGCAGGGAAGTTGCTCCACCTACATTTGGTTCCCTGGATTTTTCAGATGCTACTTCATTAATCATCCACTTGTCTGCACCCAAGAGTTCTCCATGACGTGCTCTTCTAGAACCCTTTCTATGACATCAGTTGCTATGCACCAGGATACTCTGAAAAAGGGAGGGTCTGTCACCATCACATTTGTATTAGTTTTCTATTGCTGCTGAAGTACATTACCACAAATTTAGTGGCTTAAACAACACAATTAATTATCTTAAAGTTCTATAGCCCTGAAGTCAGAAATGGGTCTCACAGGGCTAAAATTAAGGTGTCAGCAGGGCCGTGCTCCTTTCCAAAGGCTTTAGAAGAAGATTCATTCCCTTGCTCATTGAGGTTGTTGGCAGAATAAAGTTTCTGCTGTTGCAGGGCTGAGTTCCCTGTTTCCTTGCTGGCTGTTGGCTAAGGGCCATTCTCAGCTGCTGAGCACTGTCTGCATTTCTTAGCTCTGTTGCCTTCCTCTATCTTCAAAGCCAGCAAAGGTGAGTCAAACCCTCTCACACTTGGAATTTCTCTTGCCTCTTCTTCTGTCATTGTATCTTTCTGACCCACTTTTCTTTCTCCCTTTCTACGTCTAAGGACTCATGATTAGATTGGTCCAGCTGGACCATCCAGGATTATCTCTGCTTCTCAAAGTCTTTAACCTTAAACACATCTGCAAAGTCTCTTTTGCCATTCAAACTAACATAGTCAGAGGTTCCAGGGGTTAGTGTTACTGAACAAAAGGGATTCAATGCCTTGGAAGCCAACACTATGACACTGGGTGTTTGAGAAAAGGCTTTTTATTGAAATATAAATATTTAATTTTAAATATATTGTCAATATATTGTCGATTTCCAAGGAGACAGCAATGTCAACCTCAAATCTGTCACCCTGCAATGGAGTATTTTTATTAGAAAGAGTTTAGGGAGTGGATTCTAAAATTAGTAGGTGATTTGTTGGAAGAAAGGGAAGGGCTGAAAAGTCCTGGGTCATGTGCAGTTATCTCTTCATACTATTTCATGGGTCTCCTGTACAATTTTGGAGGAAGTTAGTATAAAGCATGCTTTATACTAACTTTAGTATAAAGTTAGAAATTTAGTCTGTGGTATCAGCAAGCTTGTTGTGCCTAGACTCCGGTCGGCCATCTTGGTTCCAGCTGATTTCAGCCAGTTCTTTTATCTCATAAGGAGAGGGAGTTTCAATATTTCAGCAAGTTGTTTCTTTTCTTACCTGCCACGCTGCAAACTCAAGAATTTCTGTTAGTCATTGGTTCCTTTAATTCTTTGGGGCGTGGCTTCATTAGGACACCTTTGGGAGATCAGTATTCTGCCTGCTACAGCATTCTTCTGGGCCCCCATAGGACTGCCTTCTAGGTGGAATAGTAGGAGAAGCCCTTATTTAGGTTTTCTAGTCACCACAGGGTCATAGTCAAGGACATCCTCTCTTGGTGCCTGGGCAACTTCATCTGTGACTTGAGGGCATCAGACTAGGTTATCTTTAAGATCCTTTTCAGCTCCAAAAGTTAAGAGATATTGAGATGATTGAGGGCAAATTGGCCTTTTGAAAACACAGTAGTCTTTCTGGCTGACTCAATTAGAACTGGTAATTAGTCGATTAATTGAAAATTAATAATGTAGAGAATCACAAAAGAAAAACTAAAACCAGGCCATAAACACTGAGGCTTAAATCCATACAAGCCTATTTTCTCAACAATCTTTAGTGTTGGCTCAGCTGGAGACTGGTTGGCAGAGAACCAAGGTGTTTTCACAGAAATCAGTTAATCGAGAAACACTCCATCTGCAGAAACTCCCACCTCTGAAGGCATAATAGCAGAAATG